ACCAGCATAAAATCGTAAAGCAGCTTAATAAAAAAACAACAGCAGAAAATTAGTAAAAGCAGGTGAAATGCGATCAGATAAATCATCAGTCATCAACACGCTGGGACAACAGTTGCAACTTTTGTCATTTCCTTTTTCACCTGCGAGTGTGCAGTCATTTAACTCCAGAAACATGAAGTCTGGAGTATTCCCAAGGCCAGATATATATCAACAATTCTACATCATAAAATCAAGCTGGTTCATCTCCCAGAAATAATCAGAGTAATTTCAGTTTTGTAAGAATACCTTTTAGAGATATGTCAGTCTGTGTTAATTTCAGTTCTCAAGGTTCATAAACTGGGAGTCATCTGAATCAAATTTTGTAGTGTAGCAGACAGCCCAATCAGTGCTTTGTGGAACAATGCTATCAGGAGTAAGCCAGCTACATCTCTTGACTGTTGACACTGGCAATCCCATGGGGCTCTTTTTGAAAATTTACCCTCTATTTTTATTTCAAAGACCCACAGCAACTGTAAAGTACTGGGTTCGCACATGGCGACTCGGACTACGACATGCTAACTCCACAACAAGAGAACTCCACAACAAGAGAACACACGCGGCCCGGCAAGGGCCAACTATATACACTCCCCCCGGGCACACCCACAGTTCCACTGGGGGGTTTGAATTTCCCGCCAAGGTCCTATTGGAGGACTCAGGGTGGCCTAGGATCCTTGGTCCCTATTGTGTTTGGAACCAAGCTAAGGACTGAGGCCGCCGACCCCTGGTGGCGGCCCACGGACATAACAGCATCAGCCCTAAACCTTGATTCCTTTTGTTTCTCTCTAGGTACCTGAAGCAACATAAGGCAGATGAAAGCAGCAGAGACAAAGTCTTCTCCATTCAAGATGGAGTCTTCCTGGATATGAGAATGTTCACAGATTCCAGGCCAATCAGAAGCACAGAAAAAGAGACGCCCCCTACAGTAGCTGAGGTTCAGAAGTCATAGAGGAAGCAAACGTATTATCTTAACAGAACCACAAATAAAAACCTCAGATAGCCATGTTGTGGCATTTTTACCTACAGCTCTATAGCTCTTTCTAGTTGATACATTTGACTGAGCGTACAGGGCAAACATGCTACATGCAACCCTCCCCGAAGAACACGTGATCAACATTTTGTCTAGAAAGCACATAACGTGGATTTTCACACATATTAGGCTTTTACACACATATCAAAGTTCCAGTATGCATGTTCTGACATTGAAAATCCACACATTGTGTCTTTTAGACAAAATGGTGACTATGGGTACCAGGGGATCACGTATGGCATGGCCAGATGGATGGATCAACTGAACAGGGACTAAAAGAAAGAAAGAAAATATTTATATCTAGCTATTTTCCTATACACACACACTATACTGGCTGATAGTGCCACATGTTCAAAGTCATAACTGGGTTGGCAGACAGACATCTTCCATTCCTTATTGTATGAACATTGGTTGGTTCTAATAGAGACCATTTCCTTGGGATATGAGAACAGAAAAACAACTTTACTTTTGAAGGGGGAAAACATTTCAAGGTGAGAAGGTATAAAAAAGAGAATCACAGAATCACAGAGTTGGAAGGGGCCACACAGGCCATCTAGTCCAACCCCCTGCTCAATGCAGCATCAGCCTAGAGCAGTGGTGGCGAACCTTTTAGAGACCGAGTGCCCAAACTGCAACCCAGAACCCACTTATTTATCGCAAAGTGCCAACACGGCAATTTAACCTGAATACTGAGGTTCTACTTTAGAAAAAATAACTCATACATTAATTTAAGATGATACAAACAAAGTAAGGAAAGCAATCCCAAATGCTTTCATTTACTTAAAGTTATTTGGCGGAGAATTCGACACTTTTATGATGGTCGGGGCCTGGCTGGGGCGATGGCACGCATGCCCACAGAGAGGGCTCTGAGTGCCACCTCTGGCACCCGTGCCATAGGTTCGCCACCACTGGCCTAGAGCATCCCTGACATGTTCGTCCAGCAGTTGCTTGAAGACTGCCAGTGACTGCAATACACACAGTAATGACTTTCAATTATTAGGTCCCCACTGAATATTCTCCCCTGTCAAAACTAGTGATTTTTTTTTGTGATGGAAATTTCCCCCTCAAGATAATATCAATTCTATCAATAATTCCCTCCCTACCCAAAACAAACAAACAAACCCTGTTCCATGCCACTGATCTCCCCACTGGCCTCCTCCTCCCGTTTTACAGGATTATTCACATGAGTCATTCTATTCAGTTAGGAATCATGTAGTTTATAGGATGACATTAAGACTGCATCACCAATTAAATCTAGCAGTGCAGTGACATCACTGAGGGTAAGTGTGAGCAATGGCAAGTGAGGGGTGATTTACTCAAACATTTTCACAGGGAGTGCTGAAAACTACAGGGACCATCTTTTGGCACTCTTCAGAGCATTCTCAAAAAAATACTTGGCTCAGTCCTAACCATTATAAGGCTGGTTATAGTTGAATGGTGGGCAGTAATGGTCAACCCGTTTTATCCTTGCAAAGTAGGTAATTCCGAAACATAACTTGTATCTGGATATCAATATTCAAGCAAACACAAGGTTTCAAACCATTACATGCTTATTAGCTGATTGATCATCTGAGTTTGTGGGATTTTCAAGGAAGAGTGAAATAAACAATTAACAAACATTCACAAAAGCTCTGGTGTTCTCATTCCCCAAGTGGGTTTCCTTCCTGATTAGCAGAACCTCCTAAGAGGAGATGGGTTTCCCTACAAGCAGTAACCTTCAAATTATGTTCTAGGGAACCAGAGTTTCCTCAGAAACTTACCAGGGATTCCTCATGAGAAGTTCAATCATGGAGGAAAAGCTTCTCTGACAGATGCTCTGTCAATAAACCACTGCCCTTCTTCAAACCTTCCTCTGAGGAATAGTGTTGGCTGCACCGTAGATTATGCTCTCTACTCACATGGGTTGACAGAGGTCCTACAGGCCTGATCAGTGCTCCACATGTTCTGAGGATGCCAAATGTGTGCCAGGATATTCTGCAAAACACAGGTGAGAGTTATGGGACCTCAGTACAGAAAGGCAGTTTGAGAAACGCCTACACCAAAATTCTAGCCAGCCTATGGCATGATTTAATTAGCAGATAACACCACTGAGAACGTTCTCCTCACATATTCAAGAGTCGACTTCTAAGGCATGAGGACTAGAAACCTAATTAAAGCAAAAAGGAATTAAACAGATTCTTAGGAGTTTAACACAGCTCCATAAATGAGTCTCAGCCTGACTAAAGGTTTTGGTTGTTAAGAGCACACAGGTAATCATCTACTAAATCTTTCTGCAGTTCCCATACAGTTCAATGAGCTGTGGGGCTTATGGGTCAGGGCCTTTTTTCTGGGGGAATGTGCCAGAACGGAGTTCCGGAACCTCTTTGACAAAATTCTTTTAGAGCGCGATCCCACGCACAATTAGCCATGCCATAGGCACGAATGCCTGGCGGATTTAAAGGGCGCAATCAGACGCGAACATCTGGGAAGCACCCCGCACCTGTTGGCAACTCGTTTTGCTCCACCACAGCAGAGTAAAAAGACACCAGGGAAAGTCTACTGCTGAAGATGATGCCTCCATCTCTGCATTGCCGGATCATGTCCGTAGCCCAGATGGTCTGGTTTATTCTGGGGACAAACTGTATGTGCCTATTTCGTTGCGGAGGGAGGTGATGGATTCTGCTCATGGTTCCAAACTGGCAGGACATTGGAGTTTTGTTAAGTCACTGCAACTCATCCGCAGACAGTTTTGGTGGCCACAAATGCGCAAGGACCTATTGACTTTTGTTCGGTCCTGCCAGACCTGCGCCTTGCCTAAACCCAGGGGGGGCAAGCCTCCCGGTCTTCTGCAGCCACTCCCTACTCCATCAAGACCTTGGGAAGTGGTGTCCATGGACTTTATTACGGACCTCCCTGTGAGCAAAGGGAACACTGTTATTTGGGTGGTTGCCCCCCCGGTGTTATCTCGCATGTGTGACCACCTTAAAAATGTTTACAAGTTCATGAGTTTTCAGTATACAGATTGAAAACTTCATTTCCCTCTTGACAGTTCTGGCACCTCTTTGTCAAAAAAAAAAGGAAAAAAAGCCCTGGTCGGACCTGTCTGTCAGTCTTCAGGGCAGCCAAAACCCACCGGTACAGCCGCCTGGAGCAAGCTTTTGAGTTTCACAGAACTCTTCCTGATGTGGAAGGGGCACAAAAGGGTGCCTTGACGAAGCTTTCTGTGAAACACAAAAGCTTGCATACGTCAGCTTGTGCCAGTTTGGTGAAAAGTTGCACTGCCAGTCTTTGGTTGGTTTGAAACCAAAGATTTATGGTGGTCTGGCCTTCTTTCCTTTTAAGAGTACGAGCACGAAGCAGGCAACAAAAAACTGCATTTCCTACAGCCAAGAGAACACAGCCAGATCCCCCTTCGTCCTCACTGCCCCCCAGCCTCATACTTGTTTCTGGCCACACCCTGCCCCACATTTGCTGAATGGCTGCATTTTCTTGTTCTTTCTTTCTTTTTGAGCTAATCCTTCAAAGCCTCATTAGAACTTTGACCCAAGTAAAGTTATTAAGGAGGGGGTTGCATAATCGCCTCCCTCCCCCCCCCCCAGACCAGCCCGATGGTTCCCCGAGGTTATTAACACATGCACAGACTAACAAACACCCCACGTGGTTTGCAGCATCCTGGGTGAAACACTCTCCAGTCTCGCAGAATTCACACAACAGATTACTCAAATGTTTCTTTCCTGGTTTTTTAAAAAACCCCTCCCCCTGTCCCCACGAGGCCTGCAAGTGATGTTTACAGCCACAGCCAAGATGAGGACCGTTGCAACATCGCCTTGAAAGATCCTGACCCTAAATTAACAAGAGGAAACGTTCCAGAGAGGGTGGGAACAGCCTGTATGCGGCTGGCATGTGTTCCAGAGATGCAGGCCATGCCAGATCGCTTCTGAGTTTCGCTGCTTCGGCCCCTTTTGTGGCACTCTCCAGGCATCCCCCCTTACTATGACATTCGCCGAACTTCTCGACCGGCTTGGGGGGACAGGCCGCTTCCAGGTCATTCACGTCACCCTGTTGGTGATCCCACTCCTACTTACGTCCACTCACAACCTTCTCCAGAACTTCTCAGCTGCCATCCCTGAACACCACTGCCAGATCAGGCTTCTTGGCAACAACACACACTTGCATACAAACAGGACTCTGGACCCCACAACAGAAGAGGATCTGCTGTGGATCTCCATCCCCCAAGATCAGGCTGGTAAGCTGGACAAATGTCGCCGGTTTGTCACTCCACAATGGCATCTCCTTCACGCAAACGTCACCCATGCCAATTGGACTCAGGCAGACACCGAACCGTGCCACGACGGATGGATCTATGACAGAAGCATTTTCGCCAACACCATCATTATGGAGGTGAGAGAAATGGGGGTTAAGGTTGCCGGGAAGGTTCCGAGTGTAGTGAAGTTTTGAGCTCTGGATCCACAGCGAGCTCCGTTTTTTAAAAGAATTACATTTGAAGTCAATCTGATTATTTCAGATGCAATAATGCTACATATTAACGTGCTAAATTTTGTGTTGTTTCAAACATCCAAAGGGACAACTGCCTTGTGGGGAGGAGAGAGCACTTCTCCCGTGCTTTCCCTTCCTCCAAGAATTGTTTATTCCAGTCAGAGCCCAGTGAAATCAACGTACTTAGGCTGGAGTAACTCTGCGTAGGATTGCAGTGTTCTTTACAAATGACTGAGCAGGCAGGAAGCAAGAACAGACAAGCACCACAGGTAGCTCCAAACCTCATAAAAAAGGATTTCTCTTTTCTCATAGCCAGTTGAAGGCTGCAAAAAAAATCCCCCCCTTTAGCGCCTTGTTAGGCTTCGAGTAGCCATAAAAGCTCATTCACAGGGACCTTGTTGTCCTCACCCCCCATTGACAGGAGATACAAAAATCTATACAAATGGGAACTATTTTGCAAAACCAAAGAGCGCTTCCACAACAATGCATCCTATTTTTTTTCTTACTTTCTAAAGTCCAGCATCATCCAAAATAGGATCTTTTCAAGCAATATACAATGTGCATTTTATGCAGTTTTCCAAATTTCCAATTCAGGAGAAATTTCCTGAGAAAGTGGTTTTCCCAAATTATTTGCACCTGCAGCTAGAAGCTTATCAAGCATTATTCACTCCAACTGCTAAAAGGGGTCTCGCTGTTCGGAGGCAGGCCGCGGAGCGGTTATCAACCCTGCAGAAGCTTGTGGTCATCCTCTCTCGGAAACAATATTCCGGGGTAGTTGGGCCTTGATTGGACACAGCAAGGCAAGACACGTGTCCTAATCTTCATGCTGCCAGAACCTGTAGCAACGACAGCTGCCTCAAAGACACACTCAAAGGGGAAAGACTGTGGTTCAGTGGCAGAGCATCTGCTTGATACGCAGAAGGTCCCAGGTTCAATCCCTGGCATCTCCAGTTAAAAGAACCAGGCAAGAGGTGATATGAAAGACCTCTACCTAAGACCCTGGAGAGCTACTGTCAGTCGAAGCAGACAGTACTGACTTTGATGGACCAATGGTCTGATTTAGCATAAGGCAGCTTCATGTGTATGTGTAACAGAGAAAAGTTTAAATATGCTTTTTGTGAATTTAGCACAAATGAATATTTTAGGCTGTGTGTCAGTTGCTTTGTTCATCTTACACTGGGGGGGGGGGGGGGCAGGACATTTTATGTGTTGGAAAGTCAATGAACCAAACTAATTTATCATCAGTTTTCTCCCTAGTTAATCCTGGCAGCCGGAGGGGAATGTAGACAGAAGGCAACCCCAGTCCAGAGGCCAAATTCAGTAGGAAGTGGCAAACGCGCTTGGGGAAGATGTGCTCAGTTGTTGTTGGGTCTGTTCAGGGGCTGGTGATTAGAAACAATCCCTTCCATATAGGGTTGCCAACTCTAGTTTAGGAATATCCTAGAGATCTGGGAGGATGCCTGGGGGCGGGATTTGGGGAGGCAAAGGAGCTCAGCAGTATGTGATGCCACAGAGACTATCCACCGAAGCTGCCATTTCATCCAGGGGAACTGGTCTCTGTAGACTCAAAATTGGCTCCAGACCCCACCAGGAGGTTGGTAACCTTACCTATTTGCTTGAATAAACCACATCCAGAATTGCAGTCTGAGTCTGGGCTGTTTTCATACACGCAATCTTGTTATTGCAGAGTTGGAGGGCACTGAGTTTATCCCCCAGCCACAAAAACAAAAAAGACCACGCCTGGTCTGAAATAACCCCCTTCCTTAAATCCTTCAAAGCACAGCTCCCCCTAGTGGCTGAACTTTGTAATTATCTCCTGTAATAACCTGGCGTGACATGGGCCTGACACGGAGATCTGTCATTCTTTCCCCAACAGTTTTTGTAATCGAATGCAACCACTGACGCTGCAAAGTAAAGGAGAAGATCAGTGTGGGAGGAGACAGGTGCCATAAGTGGGCTTGTCAGCTGACCTGGAGAAAACTCTTTCATGGAGCGCTATTGATTTATTTCCTTCATTTGTACCCCACCTTTTCCCCCAAAGGGGACTCAAGGCGGCTTACATCATTCTCCTGTTCTCCATTTTATCCTCACAACAACCCTGTAAGGTAGGTTAGACTGAGAGTGTGTGACTGGCCCAAGGTCACCTAGAGAGCTTCCATGGCATGAGTGGGGATTCGAACCGAAGTCTCCCAGATACTAGTCTGACACGCTTAACCACTACACCACATGGGCAGTTAGTTACCAGGTGAGCTAATTTAGCACTATGCCATGAAAAGCTGCCCGTTTCCCCACATTAAGCCTCTGCCAAGGGGCCAGGACTTCCCCCTGCCAAGTGGGTGCCAGTCTCTAGATAGGGCTTGGAGAAATCCCAGAATTACAGCTGATCTCCTGACAAGCGATAAGTTCCCGAGGAGAAAATGGCTGCTTTGGAGGACAGACTCTACTGAGCTCCCTCCCCAGGAAGGGTTGCCAGGTCCGTTGGACCAGCTGGCGGGGGATGGGGGTGAGCTTACTGGGAGTACTGGGGAGGGAGGAAGCCGGAAATAAACATGATGTCCCTGCATCACCCAAAAGTGATATGGGGATGTCGGGGCTGACGCTCTGGTTTTTGGGCAAAACTCTATGGTAGAAGCTAATTCTACCATAGACGTTTTGCCCACAAACCAGAGCGTCACCCCCCCATGTCACCGATGTGCCCACGTCACTTCCATATGATGTAGGCATGTCGCGTTTATTACCAGCTTCTTGCCTGTTTGGGGAGGGTGATTGAGTGGGCGGAGAAGAGCGCCTGAAACTGGGAGACCCCTGCCCCCACCGGAGGTCTGGCATCCCTACCCCAGACCCCGCCCCTCAAATCTCTAGGAAGTACCCAACCCAGAGTTGGCAACCGTGCAGCCATCACCTTAATTTTTTCCCCCCAACAGAGAGAGTACAAGTACTTTGGCGGTGGTGACAGTCAACAGGAAAACAGGAGTTAAATTGCTCCTCTTCTCCCAGGATTGTCTTGCCTTTAAATTGCATCTCCCTGCCAGTAAACTATTTTTTAAAAAAATCATCAGGAACACCAGGCACACATAGGGGTTGCCCTTCTGGCAACTGGCAGGGAATGGGGAAGGGGACTTACCAGTAGAAAGAAGATAGCCTAGGCCGCATTGCTGGCACGGCACAGGAAGTGATGCCATCATGCCAGTAACCTCCGGGTGATGCTCTGGTATTTGGTCAAAACCTTGATGGTAAAACCAGCTTCTACCATAGAGTTTTTGTCCAAATACCAGAGTGGCACCCAGATGTCATCAGCATGATGGCATCACTTCCTGTGCAACACCAACAATGTGGCCTAGGCCTTCTACTGGTAAGCACCCCTGCTGGGCAGCTGGGGGGCAAAGACAGGCAGCGGGGATCCCTCCTTCCACTGGGGGTATGGCAATCCTACCTACGCAGCATGCGGTCCTCTTCTGTCCTAATTAGTAGATTACTTTGCATTTTTCTCTTTTAACACTTTCCTCTCCTCCATCCATGCAGTGGGATCTGGTGTGTAACTTGAGGACCCGGAGACAGATGGCCCAGTCTATTTACATGGGGGGAGTGCTGGCGGGCGCGCTTGCGTTTGGAAGATTAGCTGACAGGTGGGTGCGTGGAAAGGGATTCTCATGGTTCTGTCTGCCAACAGCATTTGGGTCAGTTTTCCAGGCAGGACTGAAGCGAGCCTGGTCCAATGGCTGGAGAGTCAGGTGGAGATTAAGGTTGGTATCCCACTACTGACACCAATGACCGGTGTCATATGTCACTCTCAGTTCTCCATCTGTAAGATGGGAACAATGAAGTCATACCTCAAGGGCTGCAATGAGGATGGAAACACAGAGATTAAACACTCCAGGGAGAGAAGCATATATTTGCATGGGGAAATACGCAGATTCAACCTTTGGCATATCTTGTTAAAAGGATCTCAGATTAGCAGATTTGGAGAGGACTTCTTCCCAAGACGCTGGAGAACTACTTCCCATCAGAGTAGATAGTTCTGGACTAGACAGGACAACTGATTTAGACTGGGCACATCCAGTTTTACCAACCCACGGAGCTATTTTCTTAACTGGCTCCACCCTTCCTCCCTTGCAGCCCCTTATTCCCGGAACTCCCGCCTCCTGCTGCTCCTTCAGATCCCTCCTCCAAATCCCACCTTTTCCATGAAGCCTTTGGTCGTATCCCCTTCATTCTCATCTCCCACTGCAACAAAGTCGGGTTGCGAATCTTGGGTTCGGAAATACCTGGAAATTTGAAGGTGGAGCTTGGGGCTGTGGGGTTTAGGGAGGTGACAACCAGTGTTCCCTCTAAGCTGAGTTAGTGTGAGCTAGCTCGCAATTTTTTAGCCTCCGGCTCACACATTTTTGTCTTAGCTCAGGAAGGAGGCCTCCAGAGCAAACTAGTTTGTGCAGATGCCAAATCACTCGCTCACAACTTTAATGCCAGTAGCTCACGAAGTAGAGTTTTTGCTCACAAGACTCCACAGCCTAGCGGGATCATTGGTGACAACTGTGGTCAGATATAATTCCATACAGTCCACCTTCCAAAGCAGCCATTTTCTAAAAAAAAAAAAAAAAAAGTGGAATAAATGTTTTAAATAAATAAACAATATATGTCGTCTGGAGATCAGCTGTAATTCTGGGAGCTCTCCAGCCGCCACCTGGAGGTTGGCAGCCCTAAAACAAAGCCAAGGGTATGAAACACCCTTTCCTCGTCCTTGGTCTGGATACCTCCTTGTATCTCCTTTCCCTGTCCCTGTCAGAATGTAGAATATCAATTCCTTGAGGATTAGGGTTCTTTTTTTCCCTTGTGTTACTCCCTAACACACCAGCTGTGTTGACAGGGTCCTATAAACAGCAGTCAAGGAAATATATTTACGCACCATCGTTGTGTCTTAGGTTTGGGCGGAAATCAGTGCTAAGCTGGTCCTACCTGCAAATGGCGGTTGCTGGCCTGTGCACAGCCTTCTCCCCAACTTTCGTGGCCTACTGCGTCTTCCGCTTCCTGGTTGGCATGGCGTACTCTGGGATTATCTTGAACTGCATGTCTCTAGGTAAGAGCCGAAGGCCAATTTTAATAATATCAGCAAGGGAGGGGGAGAGAAAAACAGTAGCTCAAATCAGAAATTTGACAAGTTTCCCTATTTTGACAAGTATCCCCCCTGTCTTCCAAGTCGGTGATGTATGGGTTATCCCCATCTCCATTCTATGACCACCACAACCCTCTGAAGTAGGGTAGGCAGAGAGAGACTGGTCTAATGTCACCCAGATGAACAGGGATTTGAGTTAGGGATGCCAGCCTCCCGCTGCGAACTGGGGATTTCCTGGGATTACAGCTCATCTCCAGACTATAGAGATCAGCCCCCTGGAGAAAATGGATGCTTTGGGGGTGGAGTCTATGGACTGTACCTATGGACTGTACACCCCCAAATCTCCAGGCGTTTCCCAGCCTGGAGATGGAAACCTAGGGTTGCCAGGTCTCTACCTTCTGCTGGTGGGGGGGGGGGGGGCAGAGCTTCCCTTCCCAGAGTTTCTGGTGCATGCGCTTTGTGTGCGTACTGCAATGACATCACCCAGAAGTGACATCATCATGCTAGGCATATTGCCAGGGGGACGCTCTAGCATTTGGCCAGAAACTCTATGGTACCATAGAGTTTTTTTTGGCTGAGTGCTAGAGTGTCCCCCTGGCTACGTGCCTGGCATGATCCCGGCACTTTGGGGGCGGGGTTCCCCCCGCCAACCCGAATCTGGGCCGGCCGATTGAGGGACTTAAAGTGGGCAAACCTCTGCCCCAAGCGGGGGAAAGGCAAGCTTATGGAAACTGTACCTCCCCATGCTTCACCAGTGGCCTGGGGTGATCTGGCAACCCTGATTTGAGCCCAGGGTTCTGTAGTCTATGGGCCAGCTACCACCAGCTATTCTGCTAATGATATCTGTGATATATGTGAAGAGACAATGCTGGTGTTTGCTGTCCTTTGTCCCAGCAAATTTAAAACACTGGTTTGCACCTAGCACCTCCGAAACAAATCCAGTTTAGTCTCTACTACATCCCATTTTCCAGTTTAAGAACTGCAAGTGCAGACTTTGGGCTTTGCCTACATGCTGTGAAAAAACTTATTCCCCCCCCGCCCCCCTTTTTGGGCACTGAAGCCTGCTAAAGAGTGATGGGGAACTCCAAAGCTTGCACACAGCTTGGCATTGCATGCGGCTCAATGTGATAGTTTGGTTGGTCCTTATCAAAGGTGCTACACAGCTTTTGTTTTTGCAAGGTAGGGTGTGCAAGAAGTTTCTTCCCTCCCCCTCCCCTGCATTCCTGACCCCATTTGCTCTATTTTGTGCTCAGTGTGTGTTAAACTGTACAAATATTTATCCCTCCAGTTCGGCATACCTGACTTTTGATTGGCTTTCTCACACGCTGAGCAAAAAGGCGGTCACATGATGTGGAAGCTGTGGAGACTGGGGGGGGGGGGGGGGGGGGGGAGCGGCAAGAACACCAAGCTCAGAGGAGAGCAATTAACACAAACAAAATCTCCTCCCATCTGGTCTGTTCTGAAGTTGCCAACTGACCAGAAAAAAAACAAACCCAGCTTGGCATGTGCGGCTGCATCTGTAGAAGATTAAAAAAGAGATGCTTTGTCAGTTTATGGAGATCAGCATGATAACATCTGCAGAGGATGCTGCTGTTAATGGCACAGGTGCTGGGGCTGGTACAAAACATCTGGCCCCTAGGGACCCTGCAGGGACTAGGGGCCCATCATTTTTTATTTTTGCTGAGGCACTGTTATTTTCTCTTATGGCTACAGCCACACGTGCTAAATAATCTACTTTCAATCCACTTTCAGTGCACTTTCCAACTGGATTTTTACTGTCTGAACTGGCAAAATCCAGTTGAAAAATGCATTGAAAGTGGATTTAAAGTGGATTATCTAGTGTGTGTGACCGCAGCCATAGACAGCCTGTAAAGTCGCTGGAGGGCCCCCGAAATACCTGAAAGCCTAGCGGCCCGGCTATGGGTTACTAAGTCCCTGTCTGGCCCCTCTTCTGAAGCTGCCAACTGACCATCATTTCCCCTCTGCTTTGCTACGTCTTTCCCAAAGCTGGTTTGGTATGACCTTTTTGGAAAGCCGGCAGTCCGAGTGACGATCTTGCAATGACATATTTCCCCATGGCCTTAGCCTCTATTTTGACCTGACTTGGATAGCCAAAGCTAGCCTGATCTCATCAGCTCTCAGATGCCCTGGCTAGAATTTGGATGGGAGACCACCAAGGAATCCCAGGGTTGTGACACAGAGGCAGACAAATGGCAAAACCACCTCCGAGTGTCTCTTGCCTTGAAAACCCCTTGAGGGGTCGCCCATAAGTCAGCTGTGACTTGATGGCACTTTCTACCCCCACCAGCTTCTTTTTTGCAGATTTATTTGGGGGGGTGTGGGCAGAGTCCAAGGGTCGCCAGGGGCTTGAGCGTGCCAATTTCACCAGCTCCCTCTGTTCCTCCCCCTGCTCAAACCACCTCTCAGCATCCTCTTGCCCCCTGAACATTCCCTTGCCTCCTGAAGCACGCGAAGACCCCGTTAGACCAGTTTTGTTTTGTTCTTCTGGATAACTTACAAAGTCATTTTTCCTGTCTATCTAGGAGTCTCCCTGAATACATATAAACCCAGACCTTGTCTGTGGGTGGCCTCCATGACCTCTTTTTAGAATTGTACAGGCAGGGGCAGCCACTTTACTATTAGAAGGAAATTTCAGGGCTCTTTTTGTAGAAAAAGCCCAGCAGGAACGCATTAGCATAACAGGCCACACCCAACAGCAGGAACTCATTAGCATATTAGGCCACCCCCCTGACAGCACAGCTCATGAGCACATTAGGCCGCACCCCCATGTTACCAGAAGTGTGGTTATCCAGCCACACCCTCCTTTTGCTTGTTATTCTGTTTACCTTGTTTGTTGTCAAAACCCAGGGCTTTTTTGTAGCAGGAACTCCTTTGCATGTTAGGCCACACACCCCTAATGTAGCCAATCCTAATGAGTTCCTGCTGTTGGGTGTGGCCTATTATGCTAATGAGTTCCTGCTGGGCGTGGCCAACTCGGGAGCCAGCCAGAACTCCGTTCCTGTTTCATTCCTGCCCAAAAATAGCCCTGGAAGGAATATTGAACCGTATTCTGCAAAGCACTCATGAGTAGTTGTCGGTCTGACCCATTTAAGTTACAAAGAGGAACAAGAAGAGCTTTTGGTCCTTTGCCTGCCTTCTCTATTTTTAATTTTTCCAATGGTAATACTAGCAATGTCAGATCAAGTCCTCATATTACTGGCGTTAAGATTAGAAATGAATGGTACCATCTGTTGCCATCTTAGTGACCACAACAGTACAGTCCAATGCCATGGACTGTATGTATTTTTTATTCAGTACATTTTTATTCTACCCTTCTTCCATGGAGCTCAGATGGCATATATAATTCTCCCATCCTCCACTTTATCCTCGCAACAACCCTGTGAGGTAGGTTAGGCTGAGCGTGTGTGACCTGCCCAAGGTCCCCCAGTGAACTTCCATGGCAGAGTAAGGGATTCAAACCTAGTTCTTCCAGTTCCTGGTCCAACACTCTGACCACTGCACCACGCTGAGATGGCAACAACAATATCAGCATATAATGAATGGCTTGTTTGAGCAGTAGGAAGTATAGACTTTGCAGCCTTTGCAGCCTGGTTCTTCTAACCTCCCTTCCCCATCTTCTTTTTCTCAGTCCTTGAGTGGGTGCCGACCAAAGTCCGAACTGTTGCTGGGACTGTGGTGAGCTACTCTGCAACCATGGGGCAAATCATCTTTCCCGGACTGGCCTACGCCTTCCCGGACTGGCGCTGGCTTCAGTTTGCTGCTTCCCTGCCTTTTTTCGCTTTCTTCCTCTACTCCTGGTGAGCAGGGGGGTGCTCCTTGCGATTAATGAAATCACCGTGAACTTCAAACTTGGCTTTCTCGGTAGGATCAGGGCTTTATCTAACAAGGACATACACCTACAAGACTAAACAAATATATAGCTTTATTAGGATTATCTAAAGCAAAACTGTGTGTGCAAGCTTCAGAGTTCTGCAGAGCTCTTCATCAGCCTGGAAGTTTAAAATATTCTTCAACTACAGGAAAATCTGCAAAGGAACTGTCCTTAGGGAGTTTCATAAGAGCATAGGAGAAGCCATATTGGATCAGGCCAATGGTCCACCCAGTCCAACACTCTGGGTGATTTCCCACAAGTGCTGCTCCGCGCTCACTCTTCTCTTTGGCCCGATGGTACGTGTCAATTTCACACAACCTGCTGCGCAGCTGCATTTTGCCTCGCAGCTTCGTGCGATTTTCCCTGCGTCTACTCAATCCTGTTTTTTGAGGACTGAGTAGACGCGGGGAAAATTGCACGACGCTGCAGGGCAAAATGTGGGCGCGCAGCAGCTTGTGTGAAATTGACACGTACCATCGGGGCAAAAGGGAGGATTGAGTACGGAGCAGCACTTGTGGGAAATCACCCTCTGTGTCACACAGTTGCCAAAACCTAGGTGCCATCAGGTGGTCCACCCTCAGGGCCAGAACTCCAAAAGCCCTCCCACTGTTGCCCCCCAAGCGCCAAGAAGACAGAGCATCACTGCCCCAGACATAGTGTTCCATCTATATCTTGTGGCTAACAGCCACTAATGGACCTCTGCTCCATATGTTTATCCAAACCCCTCTTGAAGCTGTCTATGCCTGTAACTGCCATCATTTCCTGCAGCAGTGAATTCCACGTGGGTGAAGAAGTGCTTCCTTTTATCTGTTCTAAACCTACTGCTCATTAATTTCATTGAATGCCCATGAGTTCTTGTATTGTAAGAAATACAATCCCATTCTATCCCACTCCAAAACTAGGTAATACATTACCCAGTTTGGTTTCCACTGACACATTACCTAGTACATCAACTAAAATCAGTCTCCAGTATTCAGGTGTGTAGCTGTGTTGGTATCTAATGAAGTGGGCATGCACACAAAAGCTTATACCTTGAACAAAACTTTGTTGGTCTTAAAGGTGCCACTGGACTCAAACTTTAACCTCCAGTATTGTTAGTAAAAAATGTTTACTATGCTTTCCCTCTGCCCTCACCCTTTTAATGTATCTTGAACACATGAATGTGTGTCTGTTTGAAAGCTTTGGGCAACTAGAATGATAAAAGGGTTGGAACACTTTCCCTATGAAGAAAGGTTAAAACGCTTGGGGCTCTTTAGCTTGGAGAAACGACGGCTGAGGGGTGACATGAACGAGGTTTATAAGATTATGCATGGGATAGAGCAGGTTGAGAAAGAAGTACTTTTCTCCCTTTCTCACAATACAAGAACTCGTGGGCACTCAATGAAATTGCTGAGCAGTCGGGTTAGAACAGATAAAAGGAAGTACTTCTTCACCCAAAGAGTGATTAACACATGGAATTCACTGCCACAAGAGGTGGCGGCGGCCACAAGCATGGACAGCTTCAAGAGGGAATTAGATAAGCATAAGGAGCAGAGATCCATCAATGGCTATTAGCCACAAGGTATAGACAGGGACTCTCAGTCTGGGGCAAGTGATGCTCTGTATTCTTGGTGCTGTGGGGGGGCAAAAGTGGGAGGGCTTCTAGTATCCTGGCCCCACTGGTGGACCTCCAGATGGCACCTGGTATTTTTAGCCAAGTGTGTGACAGAGTGTTGGACTAGATGGGCCATTGGCCTGATCCAACATTGGCTTCTCTTATGTTAAGAACATAAGAGACGCCAATGTTGGATCAGGCCAAAGGCCCATCCAGTCCAACACTCTGTGTCACACAGTGGCCAGAAATACCAGTGCCATCAGGAGGTCCAGCAGTGGGGCCAGGACATTAGAAGCCCTCCCACTGTTGACCCCCCCCCCAAGCACCAAGAAGACAGAGCATCACTTGCCCCAGAGCCCCTAGCTATACCTTGTGGCTAATAGCCACTGATGGACCTCTGCTCCATATGCTTATCTAATTCCCTTTTGAAGCCGTCCATGCTTGTAGCACCCACCACTTCCTGTGGCAGTGAATTCCATGTGTTAATCACTCTTTGGGTGAAGAAGTACTTCCTTTTATCCGTTCTAACCCGACCGCTCTGCAGTTTCATGGAGTGCCCACGAGTTCTTGTATTGTGAGAAAGGGAGAAAAGTACCTCTTTCTTTACCTGCTCTTTCCCATGCATAATCTTATAAACCTCGATCATGTCACCCCTCAGTCGTCTTTTCTCCAAGCTAAAGAGCCCTAAGCGCTTTAACCTTTCCTCATAGGGAAAGTGTTCCAACCCTTTTATCATTCGAGTTGCCCTTTTCTGCACTTTTTCCAAAGCTATAATATCCTTTTTAAGGTGTGGTGCCCAGAACTGCACACAGTATTCCAAATGAGGTCTCACCATTGATTTATATAGGGGCATTATTATATTGGCTGATCTGTTTTCAATACCCTTCCTAATAATCCCCAGCATAGCATTGGCCTTCTTTATTGCAGTCACACACTGTCTCGACATTTTCAGTGAGTTATCCACTACAACTCCAAGATCTCTCTCTTGCTCAGTCTCTGCCAGTTCAGACCCCATCAATGTGTATTTATATTTAGGATTTTTGGCTCCAATGTGCATCACCTTGCACTTGGCCACATTGAACCCCATTTGCCATGTTGACGCCCACTCGCCCATCCTTGACAGATCCCCTTGGAGTGCCTCACAATCCTCACTGGTTTTCACCACCCTGAACAACTTTGTATCATCCGCAAATTTAGCCACTTCACTGCTTACTCCCATCTCCAAATCATTAATGAACAAGTTAAAAAGCAGTGGACCAAGTACTGATCCCTGCGGTACCCCACTGCTTACCACCCTCCACTGAGAAAATTGCCCACCTACACTCACTCTCTGTTTTCTATGAACTAGCCAGTTTTTGATCCATAAAAGGACTTGTCCTTCTATCCCATGATTTTTGAGCTTACTTAGGAGCCTTTGATGAGGAACTTTATCAAAAGCTTTCTGGAAGTCAAGGTAAATAATATCTATTGGATCCCCCTTGTCCACATGTTTGTTCACCCCCTCAAAGAACACTAACAGGTTAGTGAGACAAGATCTTCCCTTACAGAAACCGTGCTGAGTCTGCCTCAATAGGTTTTGTTCATCTATGTGCCTACTAATTCTTTCCTTAATAATGGTTTCCACCAATTTACCCGGTATCGACGTCAGACTGACTGGCCTGTAATTTCCCGGATCTCCTCTGGAACCCTTTTTAAAGATGGGAGTGACATTAGCTACCTTCCAATCCTCAGGAATGGAGGCAGATTTTAAGGAAAGATTACATATCTTTGTCAGGAGATCTACAAGTTCACATTTGAGTTCTTTCAGAACTCTCGGATGTATGCCATCTGGGCCTGGTGATTTTTCAGTTTTTAAGTTGTCTATCAGTTTTAGGACCTCCTCTCTCGTCACCTCAATCTGACTCAGGTCTTTCAACACCCCTCCTGAAATCAGTGGTTCTGGAGTGGGCAAGCACTTCTCATCTTCCACAGTGAAGACGGAGGCAAAAAATGCATTTAGCTTCTCAGCCATTTCCCTATCATCCTTCAATACTCCTTTTACCCCTTGGTCGTCCAAGGGCCCCACTGCCTCCCTGGCTGGTTTCCTGTTTCTAATGTATTTGAAGAAAGTTTTATTGTTGGTTTTTACGTTTTTTGCTATATGCTCCTCATATTCCCTTTTTGCCTGCCTGACCTCAGACTTGCATTTTATTTGCCATAGCCTGTGTTCCGTTTTATCAGCCTCACTGTGACTAGCTTTCCACTGCTTAAAGGAATTCTTTTTACTTTTTACAGCCTCCATTACTCTGTTTGTTAACCATGCAGGCTTTTTCCTATACCTGTTTGTGCCTTTCCTAACCTGCGGAATATATATTTTTTGAGCTTCTAGGATCGTAGTTTTAAATAGATCCCAAGCTTCCCCAATTGTTTTGACCCTTTCTACTTTTCCTTTCAGTTTCCTCCCCACGTGTCCCCTCATATCAGAGAAATTACCCCTTTTAAAGTTAAAAATGGTTGTGTGAGTCTTTTTGGCCAATTCTCTATTTGTACAAATGATGAACTCAACAACATTATGATCACTGTTTCCAAGCGGTGCAATCACTTTTACATCTCTCACCAGGTCTTGAGTGTTACTTAGGACCAAATCAAGGATCGCCTCTCCCCTGGTAGGTTCCGTGACCATCTGCTCCATAGCACAGTCATTTAGAGTGTCTAGAAACTCAATCTCTTTTTCCCGGCTAGAACACATATTGACCCAATCAATGTGTGGGTAGTTAAAATCACCTATTATTACACAGTGTTTTTGTCTAGTTGCTATCTTTAAGGCATTCATCATTTTATAATCCTCCTCTATCTTTTGATCTGGTGGGCGATAACAAACTCCCAGTGTTAAGTTTCCTTTTGGCCCCCCTATTTCAACCCATAGAACTTCCAGAAGCGAATCCAATTCACTTAGCCTCTCAATCTTTCTAGACTTTATACCCTCTCTGACATACAGAGCTACCCCACCTCCAACCCTTCCCCCCCTATCCTTCCGATATAATATATAACCGGGAATCACTGTGTCCCACTGATTTTCCTCATCCCACCAAGTTTCAGAAATACCCACAATGTCTATTTTTCCCTCCGACACCAAGCACTCCAACTCCCCGATTTTACCTCGGACACTTCTAGCATTTGTATAGAAACAGCTGTAATTTCCCTTACAAGTTAAGCCTGCATCCTTCCTCTTGCTATCTCGAGTCGTTGTCCGGCAGTCCATGTCACCAGCCATGGCCTCTGTGGACAATTTCAATCCACCTCCCTGTAGAAAAGCAACCGGTACCCCCTCACCTCTCTCAGATGAGCCAACCCGAACCAGAGACTTTTCATCTCCTGTCGGCTTTCCCCCAATATTCAGTTTAAAAGCTGCTCTGCCACCTTTTTGATTTTAAGTGCCAGCAGCCTGGTTCCTTCTCGGGACAAGTGGAGACCGTCTCGCCTGTACAGCTCCCTCTTGTTCCAAAAAGTATCCCAGTGCCTAACAAACCTGAACCCTTCCCCCCTACACCATCGTCTCATCCACGCATTGAGACTCCTGATCTCTGCCTGTCTCTCCGGCCCTGCGCGTGGAACAGGTAACACTTCTGAGAAGGCTACCTTGGAGGTCCTGGACCTAAGTTTCCTGCCCAGCAGCCTAAATTTCTCCTCCAGGACCTCACGACTGCATTTCCCCACATCGTTGGTGCCGACATGCACCACGACCACTGGCTCCTCCCCAGCACTATCTACCAGCCTATCTAAAACACGCGTAATGTCCGCTACCTTCGCACCAGGCAGGCAAGTCACCATACGGTCAGTACGCGGGTTCGCCACCCAGCTGTCTACCTGCCTAAGGATCGAATCACCCACTACCAAGAGCCCCCCTCCCACCCTGCTCAGGGATGGTTCCTTGGTGCAAAAGGAGAGCCGCTCACCAGCTGGGGAAGAGGTCCCTTCTGAGGGCACATTCCCCTTATCCTCAGCATGGTGCCCTGTTTCCCCTAGACCCTCATGCTCCCTGACAGCAGCGGGGCTGCCAGATCCAGAGTGGGACGTAGCTAACAAGTCCCCGAGAGTCTTTTCTGTGCGCCTAGCTGACTGTCTCTGCTTCTCCAGGTCAGCCACCTTGGCCTCAAGGGAGCACACACGTTCCCTGAGAACCAGGAGCTCCTTGCACCGAGGACACACCCAAGACTTCTGCCCAGTGGGCAGATAGTCATACATGTGACACTCCGTGCAAAACACTGGATAGCCCCCAACCCCCTGCTGGCATTCTGGCTTCATAATTCTTTTAAAATAAATAAATATAATCCCCCTTTTAAACCCTTGGTATTTATGTGGGTTTTGTTATCAAGTCAAATTATTTTACGGGAAAGACAAAGAGCCTGGCTCTTTTTGGGCTACTTACAGAGCCCCTAGTCTAAGAGTCCCTAGGCTAAGAGCCACAGGCAAAGAGCCCTTTAGCCTCTGCCAAGGTGTTTCCTTAAATAGAGGCCTCCCCCAGCAGAGGTCAGGCAGCAGCTATTCAAATTCAAATTCACCCAGGCACTCAATCACAGGCAAAACAATGCCCCTTCCACTTCCTCTCAATTACAGGCAATCCCAGTCAAACAGTGCCCGTTCCTCTCCCACACTCAATCAGCCAGGACTCTGCAAGAACTCTAAGTGCTTCCACACACTGCTAAACACAGTTTTCCCACAAAATATCCTTAGCTGAATTCTCTCAGCTGAAAGCAAGTAAAAGAAACCCACTCACCTCTCTCACAGCTCTCTCTCCTGCTCCTGCTCAGAGCTCAGCTGGTCTCCTCTGCCTCTGGCAAGGTGCTTCCTTAAATAGAGGCCTCCCCCAGCAGAGGTCAGGCAGCAGCTATTCAAATTCAAATTCACCCAGGCACTCAATCACAGGCAAAACAATGCCCCTTCCACTTCCTCTCAATTACAGGCAATCCCAGTCAAACAATGCCCGTTCCTCTCCCACACTCAATCAGCCAGGACTCTGCAAGAACTCTAAGTGCTTCCACACACTGCTAAACACAGTTTTCCCACAAAATATCCTTAGCTGAATTCTCTCAGCTGAAAGCAAGTAAAAGAAACCCACTCACCTCTCTCACAGCTCTCTCTCCTGCTCCTGCTCAGAGCTCAGCTGGTCTCAGCTGGTCTCCACAGCTGTTCTTATGTCTTCTATTGAGGCAGACCATTGTCCGATCAAGGTCAGTACAGCCTGCTCTAATTTGTGATGGCTCTCCAAGGTTCATTTCGAGACATTCATCTCACTTATGATCTGATCCTTTTTACTGGAGATGTCCAAGATTGAACCTGGGACCTTCTGTATGCAAAGCAGATGCTCTACCACTGGGCCATGGGCCTTCTCCTTGATTTGACGTTAGGGTGACATTTGATCGCCACCTGGCTTTCATATTGTCAGCTGGATGCTCCCGTTCCCCCTTCTATTTCCTAGAATGCCAAAATGTACAAGCTGGCAACTGTTTCACCCACTTTATCTATTACTATCTATCACCACTTTATCTATTCAAATCTTCCTGGTCTTAAGATCATGGCCTGAAATGTCTCTTCCCACTCCCTTTCCCAAAAAAAATAAATAAATAAAAAATCTCTAGTCTGATTAGGAGTTCTGGAAAACTCAAAAGATTGCACACTGTTTTGTGTTACTTTGATTACTCTTAATGAAAGGTTATTACATGGCTTTTTCAATTTAACAATAACCTGAATTAAGAGGAATAGGAAATGGAGGAGTCTGGTGGCCAAGAGAATTAACTGTGATTCATTTTCGCTACGAACTCTCTAGGTGGTCTTAGGCAAGGTGTTTGTACTTTCTCTCTCAGCCTAAGCTGTCCTCTGGGTAGTATGGAAGTGATAATACTGGCCTACCTTAAAGGGATGTTGTCAGGATTTTTGATGATGTATACTTTCAACAGTGAAAGCATGATACAATTGCTAAGTAATCATAATATCAAGCAACATTAACAGCAACACTTCTGTTGTATGTATGTGGAGAGTAAAATGCTCTGTCCATCTCAGCTACACAATGATTACATGTGTTTACAAGTTGTCTCCTGTGTCTAAGCAATATCATTCACATATTTTCTCCTGCTACCACCAGAGCAACCAAATATAATCCAGACTACAACTACACCACAAGCAGAGAACAAGAATGCCTGCCGAATTCCAAACCTGCAAGTGAGCCCCAGCCACAGATTACACATCATTTCACATGTGACGCATACACACACATACAGACATCATATCTTTGAGGAATTCAGCATTCAAACAACATTCTAACAAAACCATTTACCCATTTTACAGATGGGGAACACTGAGGCTGGGAATAGTCCCAAAGATCACCAGTTAATCCATGGCAGAAAACCAAAATATGTTGACAACTCTAGAAAGCAAGCCAAGCCACAGACCATAGAAAGCAAGTCAAGTCACACATTTGCAAAAGGAATGAAGCATGTAGAGTGTATTTACCCTTTGTGTAGATGGGGATGAAACTAACCCAAACAATGAATGTGTAGCAGAGGATTCAAAAGCAGGCACCGTGTGAGTGGACCAGTCAGTGCAGCAACTCTGAATCACCACCCACCCTCATGCTACTCCCTTTGGCATGGAGCCACACTCACCACAACAGCAGTGAGCATCACCGCGAGGTCATTAAATCTATCCATCTGATTGTTATCTTGTCCCTCTTCCAAGGAGCTTGGGAGGATGCTCACTGTTTTCTCCTCCTCCATTTTATCTTAATAACAGCCTGGTGAGGTAGGCTGAGAGAGACTGATTGGCCCAAGAGCACCCATTGGACTTAATGGCTGAACAGGAGTTTGGGCTTCTGTCTGCCTTGTCTTCTTCCAAAGCTTTTAATGATTACCCCACAGTGGTTCTAGAACAGGCAATAAGTAAGAGTCTATACTTGCACTCGTCAGCTGCATCTCTGCATGAGTTACTGCTCCGACTGATTGCCAATATCCAATCAGTTTCTGTTGGAAAAGAATTATTCTGCTATATCTCAGATAAAATAGGATCACTCAGTTGCTCCTAATATGGAACAGAAATTCCATTAAATTACTTGAAACCTCAAAATATTGTTGTGTTTCTGGATGGGTCACTGTTCTAAACTGGCATCCTTCCCAATCAGGAGGCATGCTCAGAACTGCAACTCATGCAGAATACATGAGATGGGCTTCCAGTTTGGTGTAGCGGTTAAATGCGCGGACTCTAATCTGGGAGAACCGAGTTTGATTCCCCACTCCTCCACTTGCACCTGGCTGGATGACCTTGGGCAAGCCATAGTTCTGGCACAGCTATTCTTGAAAAAGAGCAGTTTCTGTCAGAGCTCTCTCAGCCCCACCTACCTCACAGGGTGTCTGTTGTGGGGAAGGGAAGGGAAAGGAGTTTGTAAGCCGCTCTGAGACTCCCTTGGGTAGTGAAGGGCAGGGTATAAATCCAATCTCTTCTCTCTTCTTCTTCTCTTCTCTTCTTCCATGCTCTAAACATTAGCATCGTGGATTAAAAGAGCTAAGCACACACCTTCCATTTTTAATGCCAAAAAACGGTGGGCTCAACTAACAGAAGAGAGAGAAACATGGTTAAGAGTACTTGCATCGTACTAGTGCCTTCACTAGCCTGAGGTCTGGCTCTTTCTCCCAGGTGGTTTTCTGAATCTGCACGTTGGCTGGTTCTCTCTGGCAAGTCAGAGAAGGCTGTGGAAGTCCTCAAGAGGGTGGCCCGGATCAATGGGAAAAAGGAAGAAGGAGAAAAGCTCACAACAGAGGTACAAAGAAAAAGGGGTTGAAGCCAGGGATGTATGAGAGGTCGCCAGCTCTGGGTTGGGAAATATCTGGAGATCTGAGGCGTGGAGTGGGGGAGGGCAGGGTTTGGAGAGGGGAGGGACCTCAGTGTGGTATAATGCCATGGAATCCACCCTCTAAACCATTTTCTCTACAGGAATTGGTCTCTGTAGTCAGTTGTAAACGTAGGGATGTTGGCCTCTAAGATGGGGTGTGGGGATCCCCCGGAATTACAGCTCATCTCCAGACTAAAGAGATCAGTTCCCCTGAATAAAATGGATGCTTTGGAGGGTGGACTCTGTGCCATTGAACCCCCACTGAGGTCTGTCCTCCCCAGGCTCCACTCCCAAATCTCAACCTGGATCTGGCAAACCTACTCCCCCATCCCCCCCAGGGGCCAGGGGGGACCTGGCAGCCCTATCTCCAGGCCCCACCTGGAGATTGGCAACCCTAACTTAGCCCTTTTATCTGCTGTTAAAGCAGGAACCAGAGTCAGAGTTCGGATAGAATTCTCAAAAAATGTGAAATTTTAAAATTTGAAATGTTGACTGGAATTTGTTAACATTTGAATTTTTGGCATTTTCAAATGTGGCCCATTTGGGGGGCATTTTAGCAGAAATGTGGTCTTTACATTATGTTGACTGTTTTCAAGTCATCTAACATTAAACACCTCAAACATTCGCAAAACTCATTTTAGAGCATTCAGGTGTGAGTGTCAATAGATGTGACATTGGTATGAATCTACACCTCTGAAAGGATTCCCAGAAGGAATTAATCAATAGAAATGGGCCTAGGAAGAGGGGGGGGAGAAAATACAGGATTTTAAACCCTTAATCTCAAGAGAAAGAACTTGTAATGTATCCAGTCCAGACAAGTCCAGACAAGTCCAGAGACAAACGCAGAGCTTCGCTCCAAGAGACAATGGACTATGCGGATCCTAGCCCACTCCAATCAGGGGACTAGGTTCCTGGCCGAGAGCCTATGGGACTCTCGGCCACTGTAAATAACCTATAGGGAAGTAGGGGTGTGTTATGGGTGGCGGTTTCTTGGGGGATATAAACCGGCCTGCGAGCCGGCCAAAGTCATCTTTTTCCTGATCAAATAAAGTACGCTTTGCTGAAATCACTCTCCATCTGCGTACTTTTCAGAACTGCAGCCAAATCCTTCAGCCATCAAGTTACAATAGATTTATGGCAACCCCTCACAGAGGATTTCAAGGTAAAAGAAGAGAAGAGGGGGTTTGCCATTGCCTGCCTCTGTTTCATGACCCTGGACTCCTTGGTAGTCTCCCATCCAAACACTAACCAGGGCCAACCCATCTTAGCTGCCACAATCTGACCAGATCATTTCAATGAGGCTTACTCCCAGCTAATTTTCCTCAACGCGGGTTAAGACTAAATAATAGTAATAACAAGAGGGGGACCCGCGATACTCGCGGGGGGGGAGAAGAGCCCCGTCTCCTCCACCCCCCCACCCCTCGATCTCCCCGAGGCGGCAGCAGCGAGGCCGGTGTCTGCCCCCCAGGCCGGTCTTCCCCCCCCCCGCCCTGCCTGCCGGCCCCGGGGGGGG